CTCTCTCTCTCTCTCTCTCTCTCTCTCTCTCTCTCTCTCTCTCTCTGTGTGTGTGTGTGTGTGTGTGTGTGTGTGTGTGTGTGTGTGTGTGTTGACCCAGGGCCTAGGCAACTGCGCTATGACTTATCTATATCCTCAATCCCTGTGGATTCCCAAAAAATATACCCATTCCTTTTTTCCCTAAATGGTTTATAACTATATATAATGAAACCCTTTTCATAAATTTCCCCCTATTTTTTTGTCAAGAATAAATCCAAGTCGTTGGAATCAATGGAGCATCAACATGAAGAAGGTATTGAAAACTAAGAGAAAAAAGGCCAGAGTTCTTTCATGCAACAAATATGTAGTGGGCATCTACTGTCCAAGGTGTTCAGGACCCATGAGAACAGACAAAAGTTTCTACCCAGCCTCTGGTGGGGCAGGAGAGAGAACGGAAAGCATTGAAATCAGACACAGAAAGAAAAGCAGCAGCAGGACAGCTACCTACGATGAAGGCCCCACACAGGCGTCTGGGTGGGCTGCAGTGAGAACACGCCTCGAAGGAAGGAGCCTCCTGTCTGCTCAGCACAAAGTCATAACCCCCCATAAACTTACCTAAGGCACTAAACTTCATCCCAAGGGCTCCTACAGGGACACAGACAGCTGTGTCTTTGGACTCTTACTTCCTGGTCCAGATGACTTAAGAGCTAGGTTTTCCCATGTTCTGAAAACAACATATATATCTATTCCAATGGGTGTGAGGAGGTCAGGCCCAGACCCCCAGGCCCAGAAAGTCTCATTATCTTAAGCTCTTTGAACAACTGTTTCTTTTTCTTTTACTCTGATTGTAGATTCCCTATAATTTGGATTTAAAATATCAAACTGTGGTTACTTTAAGATGGACTATGAGAATACTGACTGATAAAAATTAAGTATATATGTATGTAGATATAGACTCAGTTACTAAGTGATCTTATAGCTAATATTAGTGGTAAAGATTGGAATTAAAAAAACAACAACAACTGTGATTCCCTCAGCTGGCTATCGAGGGAAATCAGGACCACTTGGGACATGAAATTGCTACAGTTTGTGAATTCACTGCTATTTAATAAATTCTGACACAACCGTCAGACTGTCAATGTTCTTACATTGCATTCACAGGCTAAGTGTGTGTTCCGAGCATTCTGTAAGTACACTGCACACACGAACACCATTTCCATCTGTACTGCCACTTCCATCCCAGGGTCAGTTCCACTGCCATGGTAATGGTAAAATCTCTGTTCTGGCTGCTAAGTGTGTGTTTGGGGTGGGGTAGGGTGGAAAAGAGGGTGTGCTGGGGACACAGGTCTTGGTGTGGTCAGTTTTGCCCAGGTTCAGGCAGGCTCTGAGAAGGGTCAAGAGAGTCTTGCTCTGGTAGGTAGATGAAATCTGAGGAAGGGTTTCTCTTCAGCAGAAAAGAACAGAAGACAAGAGAGATGGGAGGGAGACAAAGGGCAGCTTCAGATGAAGCCTATTAGAAAACTTAAGAATAAATACCTTGCTGCACAGGGTGGTGCATACCTTTAATACCAGCACTAAGGAGGCAGAGGTAGGTAGATCTCTGTGAGTTAGAGAACAGTCTGGTCTACATAGAAAGTTCCAGGCCAGCCAGGGCTACACAGTGAGAGGCCGTCTCAAAAACAAATGCAAACACATGTACATTTAAACATACATATACATACATACATACCAAAACAAAGTTTCACTATAGGTGGCTAAGTTGAAAGGGACTTAATTTTATGAACAACTCCCAAATTTGACAACTTTACACTGAACTTGTTCATAGAATTTTGATACAAAATTTCATCAAATGGTATATTCATTTGTATGTCTAAAAGAGTCAAGTTCCAAGTATTTTTCACTTAGGAGAGGCTATATTAATACAAAAAATAGAAGGGAAATAGCCCTCTGAAAGTAGTATATATATGGCTATACTTTCACTTAAATATACTATACTTTTTAATTTGATTCACAAGTTCCAGAGGCAACATAGTTAAGATGTAAAAATAAAGCAGAAATTGTAACCAAATCTTTTTCTGAGACTAAACACAAACATGATGGTGTAAAGGCCAGAATTTAATGGATTTAAGTTCTAATGGACAGAATTATGAATAGTAACGATGTCAAGGAATTAACTATGTCTAGACATCTCTCCTAGATTTCTATTTGAAGAACAATACATATATATTTATTCCTCATCCTTTGAATTCCCAAGTCAGGAGTTCATAACCTGCTGTTGAAAGGATCATCATCCTTAATTCCTAATCCATTTATCAGGCTAAAATGCAAATGCCAGTGTGAATTCATTTCAACAGCCCGAACTCCAAAAGCTTCTCGGGCACACGCTGTGCTAACTGGGGAAGGGTTTAAGCCACTGCTGTTTTCAGATCCGAAAACAGTTGTGCTGATAACAGAAGAACCACCACAATGATGCCATCTCTCTTCTATAAAAGCTATACACATTTTTTTGCACAACTGTATGATTGTTATGGCAACCATAAAAATGGAACTATCATTCTTCCAATTACACACTACCCATACTAGATTACCTTTAACACTTCCCTGAATTTCTTTTCAGAACATGCTGTCTGTCCTATAGATGCTTAGAAGCAAGATAAAGTGGTCTCTTTCAAAGGGAGATTCCACAACAATGACTCTTTCAAAGGACTAGCTCTTCAGGAATTCTAGGGCTTTCCTGTCAAGTCTTTTTATTCCCTGGTCACTGGGAGGCCTCAAAATATCCTTCCCGGGAGGCAGAGGAGCTGCCTGGAATGTGTATTCTCAAAATGAATGTTTTATTAAGTGGGTGAAGTAGAAAGATGGTGTTCAAGCAACAGTCTCACGAGACCTGGCATAGCTCTGTAAAACACTGAGGCCATTTGCCAGTTCCCATTTATTAATGTAAAAGGCTTGTACAAGCCATATGTACTACATTTTAATGAACTCTGCTCTGTAAATAATGGCAACATGGATATATATTTTTAAAATGCCAAAATAAGTATCAGTTATACTTCAAGATGACCAGGAATTCTATTATTACTTTGTCTAAAGTGAGTAAGACTTCAGAAATTTCAAGGAAAAAAGTATGAAGCCTTTCTTCTCAGTAATCAGGAGAGCCCAGCCTTGTCTTTTATGTCTCTAAGTTTTCATTTTGGGTCCAAATCATGTTCCGTTGTTCAGAACTGGTTCTATAAGTAAAAGCAGGGGTGGGAGTGTACTAACTGTGAATTTCTGGCAAATTTAATGTTAAATACTTAGATCCCATAGGGAAACATGCTAATAATTACTGTTTGGTGCAGAGCACTTCCAAATAAGGATCTAGGGTAGAATGAAGCACCGGAGGCTCCTCTCTGTACCCATCCTCAGAGAAAAAGAGGCCTAGGGAACTCCTCACACAGCCTGGACCCCAAGGGTTCAGGTCTGCCTATTCACTTTAGACAAAGTCTTCCTGAAGTATAACTGATATTTATTTTAAAAATATATATCCATGTTGCCATTATTTACAGAGCAGAGTTCATTAAACTGGAGTACATAAGGCTTATTCATGCCTCTTACCTTAATAAATGGGAACCGGCAAATGGCCTCAGTGTTTTTCAGAGCTATGGCAGGTCTCGTGAGACTGTTCATGATGCTTCAACACCATCTTTCTACTTCCCCCACTTAGTAAAACATTCATTTTAAGAAGACACGTTCTCTCTCTCACTCTCTCCTTTGGCTGACTCCCACTGCCTAGTCCTTCCCAAGTCTGGACCAGCCCTGAATTTACACTCCTACTCTCCCACTCCGACTGAAGTAGCTCAATATCTAGGCTCTAGGCTCTTCCCTTCTCTGCCTTTTATATGCGTCAGCATTTGACTACCAGGACAAAGTACTCCCTGCTAAACACCAGCTTCTAGTTAGCTTTTATGATTGTACAGCATCCAAATCTCCCTGACTTAACTAGAATAAGGACTGTGAGGCAGTTTGAGCTGAAGGCCCATGGGTAACCAAAACACAAACCTGGATCCTTTGCTCAAGAGTTTAACCTACTTCTATCTCATGCAGCAATGACTTCCCTAAGGAGACACAGCCCAGACTAATCCTGAGATAAAGATCAGTCAGACTACAGTTTGGTCAAGACTAAGCTGTAATGCTATGTATTCACTCCTGTGGGTTCTGGGCAGTGGCTAGGCTGAGCTTGTTAGGACTAGGACTCTGGCAACAAAAGTGCCTGCCCACTTCTACTGACCTTCACTATCACAGCACTTTGGTGAATGAGGTCTGTCCAAACGTCATCGGAGAGGGAGAGGAATGTGTAGAAATCTATCTTCTTCTATGCTTAATTCTCTCTGAAAAGACTTTACCCACTAAAATGGTCAATTGAGACAGATTCTGTTTCCACTTGTTGCAAATACTAGAAATAGTATTTGCTGAATTAAATTCTCATTGGATTCTGACCAAAAGTCTGAGAAGTAATTTAATTAATTCTCTTGGGCTCTTCTCTTTTTAAAAACATCTTTAAAACATCTTTTATTTATATTCATGTATGTTGAGTATGTACATGTCATGGCATATGTGTGAAGGTCAGAGAACAACTTGTGGGAGTCAGTTCTCTCCTTCCACAACGTAGGCTCCACAGATTACATTTTAAGGTTGGCAAGGTTGGGAGCAGTGTCTTTATCCAATGAACCATCTCACCAGTATATTTACTTATTTGTGTGTGTGGGGGGGGTGAGTGTGTACACGCGCGTGTGCCCACTGAACCATCTTGCCAAGCAGTTTGGGTGCTCTTTCATCAATCTCAAGCTTTAGAATTAAGGCTGGAGGAGCACAAATGGTTTCCCTAGCAGAGATTATACCACAAGCACCGATATAATCTCTGAGCGTGGAACTCTTTGGTGATGCCTTGGGGCTTCTAGTAGCTGCCAGAAAGACTTTCCTAGAGATTCTTTTTGAAGGTTTAGGAATAAAGTCCTTTGGATAACAAATATATAACAACTAATGATATATTAAAAGGGATTAAAAAGTGGGAAGGGGGAGCATTCAGGGGCATGGGTAGTATGAAGTATTTATTTCCTATGTGACTTAAATATTTTTGGTATGGTATTTTATATTAATGATCTTTAGAAAGAAGTAAGGGACAATATTTGCTCAAGTACAATGGACACACAGCTCCAAGCTAAGTACTATTTATGTTCTTCTATTAGAAGTCAACATACCATCATGGGAAAGAATGTACATTAACTATGGTTCGGATAGACCCACAAGGTTACACATAGAAGTCAACATACCATCATGGGAAAGAATGTACATTAACTATGGTTCGGATAGACCCACAAGGGCTGCACACTTAGTAACTGGTGAGAACTCAAGCCAAAGTTACCTTTCAATTCCACATTCTTTTTTGAAAGGGTTTTCAAGATTTATTTTTATTATTTTTAATTATGTGTATATTTGTGTCTTTGTGAGAATATGTACATGTGAGTGCAGGTGCCTGTGGACACCAGAAGAGGGCATCAGATCCTTTGAAGCTGGAGTTACAAACAGTTGTGAGCTGCCCAATATGGTGCTGAGAACTGAACTCGGGTCCTCTGCAGGAGCAGTACATTTTCTTAACCACTGAGCCACCTCTCCAGCCCCTAAGTCCCACATTCTTCATGTATTTCATAGTTGTGA